TACTGGGAATGCACTTAGCCTGGCGGCGATGTAGAGTGCGCGGACTCTACGACCAGGTAAGTACTACATGTAGGGATGTGAGACTAATTCTAATTCTAAGGTGTACAGAGACTCATATTTATATGGTTCTCTGTACTCCCTGTTATACACGGTAGAGACTAGGAGGTGGACAAAACGGCGAGTCGGCAGCTTGTTGTTTATTGTAGCTGCCAAAAAGTAGCTTGCGACCAAAAAAGGTAATACAAAATTTGCAATATCATTTTAACTGATTCTTCTCACGTCTTTGATTCTTGGAACTCGTAAAACGCAATAGTGTTTGTGTAGACCATATGCCTTGCATTGATAGTTCCGAGAATCCGAAATATCATATTAAAATGTGAAGGCCGTGGCATTAATGTAATAAAGTAAAAAAAAATAGTGAATCGACCCCGTCGGTTTACTACACCCACTACTTTTGATTATATCGTTGACGCTATAAAACCTGTTCTGCAATTAAAACCTACTAATTTCCAGCAACCTATTTCAGTTGAAGAACGATTAATGGTTACTTTAAGGTAAAAGACAATATTTGTAATATATTTATAATATACAGTAAAACGTCGATAACTCGAATCAATCTGTGGCAAAAACATATTCTAGTTATAGAAAAAAGATTATGTAAAAGTTGAAGGGTCGGGGCCAAAATATTCCTTCGAGTTACCGAAAATTCGACTTATAGATTTTCCTGTTATCGTGGTTCCACTGTAATTAATTATAATGTAAATTTATAATGCAATGAAAATCTAAAATACATTTATTTTTAATGCAAATGAAAAAATGTAGAAATGTTTTAAAAAAAGTTTTACTGCAAATTGTGATTGCCAAAAGTAACATAAATTTAAACCAAACAAATTATTAAATTATAATTTTTATCTTAACTTAAAATTTTATAATTACTTCTTCTTGAAGTTTAAGGTTATATATATATGTATTTATAAGGTTTCATAATCTTTAGGGAAAAATGAATTTTGTGGATCAAATTGTGGTACTTGTTGTTTATTTAAATTTGACAACTCCTTAAATAGTAGCTCCTGCATCTGTGTTCCAAAACGCAACTTATTTAATGATGGCAACTGTTTCATGTATGGCAAAATCGATTTGAACCAAAGTAAGTCATCGTCATTGTTGTCTTGTTGATCCTGTCGCAAAACTTGAATCTTCTCTCTCTCTCTAATTGAATAAATGCTTCTAATCCATCATTTTTACGTTTTCGTTTTTATGTTGTCGTAGCTGTTGTAGAAGATGAGGTTAAAGAGATATTATAATTAAAAAAACAATGTCGCAAATCCTAGTAAATTGCCTGGCAATCTGGGTAACGCATTTCTCCTTGCAGAACGCATTAACGATTCTGCTGTTGACCAGGTCTATAAGGCAGCAGCTTCCATATGTCTATTATGGGCAAATTTTTTTTTAGTTATACATATAGGTAGATTCCATATTGTAAAACAAAATAGTTAGGTAAGTAAGATATCGGTTTGATTGAATCAAGATAAAGAAGGAACTAGGTACATGATCACTAGAATATATTCATTGTTGTAACAAAGAAATAAGAATTGTTGTACATTGAAAAAAGTTTTCTTATTAATTAACTAAAGAGTAAGTTAGAAGACAGAAGGATAAATGTGTTTAAATTTTACTTATTAACCAGCTATACCAGGTATAAGACAGCCGTTAGGTAAATAAATCATCAATGAAGTTCCATCTACACAGTTTTTAACAAGGTGTTCTCTGTTGCTTCTCTACGTCTTAAGATGTTACGAAAATCATTGATTAGTGCCATGTTGTCTACAACATCTATTTCATGTCCATTATGAGGTTGTATTGCCACTTTCGTACCATCTACTAACTGTTTCGCCGATCCCTTACAAAAATGCGATTGCGCTTTTTTACATCTACAGGGTGATCCATTTAAGTGGGTACACTAATTATCTCGAAAAGTATTAACTTTTTTTTATTTTTATTTTTTTAAACTGTTAGATTAATGCTTTTCTAAAACTCTATACTATTTTAATTTTTTTCACCCTTATATTTATTGGTGAAACCACTATCAACTTTTGATTTTCAAATGGTAACATGTAATAAAAAGATCATGAATTAATAAAACCATTTTTTTTATGAATTTACGCGTTAACATTTTTATTTTTTGATGATTCGTTTGCGAGATACAGCTCCTCAAAGTATTGGTGGTTGAAAGTCGGTACCGCTGGAAAATTTTCATTTGTAAAGCCCAGAAGCTATAACTGATAAATTCGATACCGTTCGACCTAACTACCTACGGTACCTAACATTAAACATATTGATAATTGTTGTACTTTGAACCTGATTAATTGAATGTACATTACACCTATATGCTAATTTGACCAATGCTACGTTTTGTTGACATTGGCTGTCGCACCAGATCCCCTCCATATTACCATAGAACAATAATAATCTTATTAGTTATTACTATTGTCTATTACCGATATTTGGCGATACCTTTATCATTATCTATGACCACGGTCTTATAAGATAATAGAATTGATTAAAATATTATATCATATTAATTAATTAATGATAATGGTACAGAAAAATCAATCGGTTGTAATAAACTGAATACTGATAATGAACTTAAAAACTTGTAAAGTAAAATACTAAACCATGTGGCCATGCAGCATAGCACTATTACTTAAATAGTTTAATATTAAATGTATAATGTAATTAATAATTGAACTATACATATGTATAGTTAGTTTATGTTGTAAACCGTTATAAGTAGACAGACAGTTCAAATTTCTTTAATAGCCATAATATACCTAACAAAATAGGTAGTTGTTGAATCATTAAGTTTGTCAAAAATATTCCATTGAACTTAAAATTACATTATACCTAAGTCGTAATTTGGGATATATTTATCTATTTTATTTGATATTTCAATCAAAAATATATGTATTTAAGTGTGATGTAAACTTGATAATACATGAATACTAACCACTTGGAAAGCACAACATTTGTACCTACATTAAGTTTATTGGTAAGTTTTCTTAAAATGTATACGTAGGAAAATCGTTATGATTAATACATTCATTTGTACATACATTATTATATATTATTATGACGTCTTAACAGTTTTTATTTAAATTTTATTTTCAGTTAAATCAGCTTTGTTCCTTCAGTTACGCCACCAATAAATGTTATTCAAAGGTTGATAACACAAAATTTGTTATACTCTTAAAATTATTGGCCCACACCAATAGCACAAACCTAATACAACTTCATATATTATTCATTTACTTATTACCATCTACTTGGACACAACAAGATGGTTGCCTATCTACATCATATACATTAGTGATGGTAACTTGTTATCAATTTCCGTAACTGTTATAAACTGTTATTGTTACACCAAAAATAACAGTGAAAATAACAGTTACTGTTATTGATACTGTTACTAGAAAAAAAAGCTGCTATCGGCGATGATATTAACAACATCTGGGAGAAGCTATTATAAAAATTGATTTAAAACCAAAAACAGTCAAAATACATTAAAATTTACCTAATGGATAATACTTACCTAAAATATGAAAATTAATTTCCTGCAATGTGTATTCTGATTACGAAAGACTAATGTGTGTTATTTAATTAAATACAGGCGACAACAACCGAATGGCGAATTGTTACATTTTCTATGTTACTGTAAAATTGTAAAATGTATAGCATGTACATAAAATATTGTTATTTGAGGTGCGAATTCATTTTGTTTAAAGTTAATATGCAAATATCAATTATTAATACCTAATATTATAATGTAGTATAGCTTATTTTACGAATGCAGTATTTTTAATTGTTATTGTTATATTATGTTATTACTATTAAGTTATTGTTATATCTTTTTGAAAAAAAAATCAATAGATTATAATATACTTTTAATTTTTGTATTCCTTTATTTACAATAATATATTAATGTCACCAGTATTCATGAATATTAAAAATAAAGGCAAATTGGTTAATAATATTGTAGCCTGTTCAATTATATTATAATATATGTAAAAAGAAAAAAAAATCCTTGACAACATAATGGGTAAGTGACTAGTAGGTGTAGGAAACAAGATTATTCATGCATGTTTCAAATTGGTTCAAATCTGAAACATGAAAGCGCAAGTTTATTCCTGATTGTAAATATATTTTTACTAAGGCATATGTATGTCTTGATCTTATCACTACCATTCTTTAACTCACCGTCTGATGTTATAGAGTACCAAAAAAGCATAATTTGAAATTTTGAAACCATTTTATTTTGTACAACAATTTTTTACAATCAATAAAATACACCTTTTACAAAATGGATCGCCGTACGAGTAATATATGGAGCCATTTTACAGTAATCGATGAAAAAAACAAAATTTCTAAGTGCGATATGTGTTTAAAAAAATATTCTTTTAAATCTACACTTACAAATCTTAAAAAACATTTAGCTGGTGTTCATTCAATTCATATGTCTTCAAATATATCTACAGTAAGTACAAGCCAATGAATTTAAAATAATTTATAAAAATTTTAGATTAAACTATATTAAAATTACAGCTATCTAAATTTATTTATATTGTAATATATATTAAAAATTAGTTTTTATTTTGAAATTAAAAAATAAAACAAAACATAATATAAAGTTAGTACTGGCTACTGTAATTTTGAATTAAATAATAATTAAATATGAGTCTTTTATTGTTTATACTTATTATTATTTGAAAATAAAACAAAATAATTTCAAAATTAACTTATTGACTAATTTTTACTAAAATTAACTAATTGACTCAGAAAATTAACTTGATTATTTTTATTTTACATTAGAACCATAATGAAAGTGAAAATATTGATAACCCTGCAACAATTCATGAGCCTAGTTCTTCACTGCTATCTGAACCCATGTCTGATATTGTACCCACACACCTTCTTCATCATCATCATCAAATGCTTTTACCATAATGCAAACTTCAGGTTCAATCCGGAAAAGTAAACAAACATCTGTTGTTGGTTATTTGCCAAGAAAACTAACAGTGGATGCTAAAAAAAAATTGGATCAGAAACTTTTAAAACTATTTGTAAATGATTTCCAACCTTTTAAAGTTGTTGAGGATTCAGGTTTTAAACAATTTGTAAAAGCACTGAATCCAAACTATGAATTACCAAACCGCCACGCAATATCAAAAGAACTCATTCCAGCTTTATATGAAAAGTGTTTAGTAGAGATGAAAAGTTTAACATCAACTGTTGAGAGTGCTTGCTTAACCACAGACTGCTGGACATCTAGAAATAATGAAAGTTTCATAGCAATTACTATACATTTTATAGACACCGAGTTTGAATTAAAATCAATACTTTTAGGACGTCATTCGTTCAACTTGAATCATACTGCAAACAACCTTGCAAAAGAAATTGAACGTGTATTAAATTCATGGAATTTGTACAACAAAATTACATTCGCAGTTTCTGATAACGCCTATAATATTAAAAATGCCCTTAACATGTTAGGTTTTAAAAATATGGGTTGTTTTGCGCACACCATGAATTTAATAGTCCAGTCAGCACTCAAATTAGAAGAAGACCTAATAAACAAAATAAAAAATATAGTTTCTCATTTTAGAAAAAGTACGGTAGCTAATAATGCTTTAAAAACCTACCAAATTAATAATGGTATAAAAGAACCCAAAAAATTGATTCAAGATGTCCCAACTAGGTGGAATTCCACATATTATATGGTTTGTAGATTTGTTGAATTAGAGACATCAATTCGAGGTACTTTGGGCTTGATAAATAATGCTCCAGAGAATCTTAAACAAGAAGAATGGGTTATTTTAAAAGATCTTATAAAAATATTGAAGCCATTCGAAGAAGCTACTAAAGCTATTAGCCGTCAAAAATACATGACAGCATCACTAGTGATCGTAATTGTACAGGGACTCTTCAAAGTTTTTAATAATTTATTAAAAATGAATTTGACACAAAGAGTCTTACAAGTGGTCGAAAAATTGTTGGCAAACATGAACGAAAGGGATGGCTTTAAACATACGGAAAAAAGTAAAACTCTTTCAAGATGTACTTTCCTTGATCCACGATTCAAGCATATACCACCATTCAATCATAATGCTAAATTATTGACTACAACAAAAACTGATATTATAGAAAAGACATCAGAAATTATTCGCAGCAAATACATTGAAGATGATGGAACACATGAATCAGCAACTTTGGTAGATGTTACACATTCCAATTGTGAACCGTTATCTATTTGGAATGATATTGATAGTTGTGTCGCCAAATCATCACCTATGGGAACTGCGAAATCGAGAGCTATTGTGGAAGTCCAGCGTTACCTAGAAGATCCAATAATTACAAGATGTCAGGATCCATTGAAATGGTAGCTATGGTATAGCTATAATTATCCACATTTGAGTGTTTTGGCCAAGAATACATTGTGTCATCTAGGTACATCTGTACCGTGTGAACGAATTTTTTCTTGTGCCTGATTAGTCCTAAATGATCGTCGTTGTAGGTTAAAAAATGAAAAAGTTAATATGTTATTATTCCTTCATTACAATTCATGGTAACTTAAATTTTGTTATACTCAATTGTTTATTTTTTGTTTTTATAATTATTTTATATTATAATAATATGTTGTTCTTTAGAATTTAAAAGGACGTTATTTAAATAATAATTATTAATTAATTTTATTTATTATTTAAATATTATGACAAAAACAAATAACTTAGGATTTACTATATTATTCTATTCCTTATAATTTTTTTTTTTTAATAATTATTATTAAGCATTAGTTATTTTTTTTAATATAATATAAATATTATGACAAAGGCAAATGTTTACATTAATAGTGTTTTTTGGAATTTGATAACGTGGGTAAATAACTTATAATTTACCATATTCTATTTTTTATTTTATTTAAATGGTTTTCATTATTAATTTATGTTAAATGTTGTTTTGAGAATTTTAAAGGTAATTTTTACATAATGTAAATATTTATTTTTTAATTTATGAACAACTATTATTATATTATACTGTTACAAAGAAAAAAGTTTGTAGTATAAACATTATTAAAATGTTTAAGTTCTATATTCCTTGATAAAGTAGGGACAGTTACCAGAAAAGTTTCTAGTAAGCTACAATTCAGATTTTCAGAATGTATAATCAAAATTATATTGATTGTCAAAAATAGGAATAGTATGTAATAATTTATCATTAATTTATTAACATTTTTACAAACAATAATAAACTTATTTACTTACCTACTATATTTAATACTTATACCTACCTTATAACAATAGGTTAAGTCAATCTGTTAAAATTATGAACTAAAAAACTAAAAAAACTAAAAAACTAACTAATTTAAACAAACTTAACTTAACTAACTGAATGTATATACAATTATTAAAACGAATCACGAATAATGAAACAACAGAACAGTTAACATCAGTTGTTAATTATTGTTATAATATCAATATATCATCAATAAAATCTAATCTAATAAAAGTTGGACGTGGAATTTCCGTGGAACCACTGAAGACAGAAGGAAAGGTAATATAAATAATATAAGAATATGAGCACCATAACCACTTATAACACTATACCATAATATTATATAACATTAACATGAAAATATTGAGTAACAGTTATCATTTATTCATTTTCCGTGTTAGAAACGAACAATAGCCTGCTGCTGATAATGAATAACATCGTTATTCGTTAACCCAAAACCTTGGTTTAAACGTCAAAACAAAAAATAACAATAACTGTTATTTTTTCTTCCAAGTAACAGCTTGCTCCTGTTACTGTTAACAATCACTGTTACTGTTATTTTCTTCCATCGCTAAATTATACATACTTAAAAATATAATGTTCTCTGTTCAGAAGTACTTATAAGTTGCATATATTCAAATTTTACATTCTGGCATAGTAATTATTGTTAAGAACTAAGTTGATCTGTATTTACTACAAATATACTTGGCCAAATGATTTGGAGATAGATATTGAAATCACATAATTTTCTATCTTCCATTACATTTTCCAAACGAGAACAAATAACAATGACAAATGAAAATTTTGTTTCCCATTTACTATTTTAATAGTTGGGAGAGACTACAAAATGAATTAAGTATGTAAACATATTATTTTACCGTTAAATAATTTGGTTATATTTATCCTTTTTTAATTTATTAGATAGTAAATACTCAACTACTCAAGTTAATTTCAAAGAAGATTAAAAATCAAGTCTGACAATCTGAATTCCAGAAAAACTTAATCCCAATAATATAGTAAGCTAAAAATATGTTAAATGAAAATAGTACCTACATGTTTTTTTTTTTTTTTTTTTTTAATTTTAACAAATATTATACAATTAAGTTAATTTAGCTAATAACATCAATCAATCATTGATACTTAAATGGGTGGTAAAATGTATGTTTTTAGAAAATTAAAAAAAGAATTATAAATTACTCACCTTCATTATTATACATGGTATTATTAAATATTTTATTTAAATAACTACTTTGTTATAATATTAGGTAGGTATGTCTTAATAATAATATGTATGTATCATAAAAATATTTTTATTTAAAAGTATATTGTTATAGTGTTTTGCAACTGAATAGTTCTTCTGTTTGATTGGTGTTGTTAGCTATTTATTACCACCACGTTAAAATATTATTAGTCCCACTTTTAAATTTTACTGTATTTTTTTTTATTTGATAATCCTAAATAAAAAAATATCTTAATAATTAATGGTGAAATATATTTTAAACCTAATAGCCAATAGGTATGTACAATGTACATATTATTATAGGTACCTAAATCTTGTAGTAGATCACTTCTAGTAAATTGGTAGATCATACAAATGCCTTTTATAGTGGTTCATAATAATAGAAATATAAAATGGGGTGATTTCAGTCACGACATATTGAAATAGCTAAGTTGTTTTTTACATATTACCTTATTGTTTGTAACAATATTCATAATTATTGTATTGTTAAAAAAACATAATATTATATAAATTTAAATTTGAAATATTTAACTATTCATAGTCTTTCACTATTAAATTATTTTAAATTATTTAAGTGGTTCACAATATTATAAATATAAAATGGGGTAATATGTGGAATTTCCAATTTTGAATTAAGTTGTTTATAATTAAAGAATATAGGTAATTGAAAAATACAATTAGTATGCATTTAAAATTACAATAATATTATGCTAGATGTGTACTTATAGGTTAGGCACCATATATTATGTATATTTAAAATTATGATTATTAACTTGCTACAATTAATTCAAAACTAACGTGAAATAGTTTTGAATGGTAATTGAAAAAAAAAATCACCTATTGGAAGGTAAATCATAAAAACAAGACCTACAAGTTAAAGTTAAATTTTAAATTAATATTGTATTGAAAAAATATATTCAATAAAATATTGTTAAATTGTGAAAATAACATTTTAAATATGGCTCTAATCACCCCATTTTATATAGAATTAGTTACATTTTTAAACTTTTGTCAGTTGTATCATAGGGGTGTGCTGAATATGCTTTAATTTAAATAAATAATAAGGTATATAAAACAATTTCTTAGGTAGCTAATTGTATGCGCCTCTGAAGAGATTTTACAAATGGGTAATGAGCCTAGTCAATTTATCATAAACCATCTGAAATTAATGTCAGCATATACCTGTATTATATTGTGTGATTAAAAAAAATTGTATCATTTACTATGTAATTTTTTATTAGTCGCTTACTATGTTTTAAAGCTATTAAGTATATTTGTACATATCGAAATATCGTTTAAACCACAAAATCAATTTAAAAATTATTGTCTTCAAATTTTGTACTGGACAGTATTATAAGACATCAAACTCAATAATTTATTTTTATAAGATATTGGTGTTTATTTGTTTAGTATTTATATGTGTGTATACTGTATTGTAAACTTTAAAACTGTACCATACCTATTGATTTTTATTATACTATATTTTTTTGTAATTGATTTTTATTTGACAATTTAAAAAATAGGTATACATTTTCAAATACAACCAATATTTTGGTTATTATAACCAATTTAACTGAAAAAATAGGTAACAGTAAGTTAATTAAGGATCAAGGTATACCTTCAGTGAGAAAAAAAAAATTCGGTTTTCAAACGAATAGCCCCACCTAGAGATCCTATTCTTACATAAGCTAACAAGATGGTGCTCCGGCCCATAACTGCTGGCAGGTTCAGGACTATTTAAACAACATTTACGGAGGTAATTATCATTATCATCATATTTTGTTTGATTGCTACTTATAAAAATTTTAATTTTATACATATAATTACACAATTTTCTTCTCATTTATATTCATATAGGTATTTATTTACATTAACCCAATATGTTATGGATACAATTTATACAAATAAGTATTACATTTAATTTAAATTGTATTTTTAAGATAACTGGATGGGTACCCTTAGTCCAGGAAATTCAATGGCCAGCACGTAGTCCAGACGTGACACCTTTGGATTTTTTTTTTTGGGGGGGGGGGGATTTGTGAAGAATGCTGTTTCTGATATTATGAAAAAATGTCTTAAAACGTATGACATTTTGTATGTCACAAAATGGTCAACATTTTGAACACATATTAAAAATAAATAATCCAAGAATTTTATGTAGTTGGATCTTTATACATTTTTTCTTTCAAATCCTTATTAATTAATGGTCTTGGACTCTTGGGATTTTCAAATAGTGTAACTGTAAAACACGATTTTAGATAGGTAATTAATTAATTAAATTCTTAAATAGTGCTGTAAAATTATAATACCTATTATAGTATTATTCTAATATTCTATTTCATTTTCTACTATTATCATACAACATTCATATCATTCACAATATCAGAGAACATTGAACAATATTATTTAAGATAATTGATAGGACTATCTTAAATCGTGACAATAAAATTGTGCATTATCTCCTAAATATGGGTATTTATTATTTACTTTCTGCATAATATTATAATCATACTAGCTCTAAGTATAACTCGGGGCCCGTTGGAACCACTGAGAGTGGGTACCGATTTTGGAGACAATGAATTATAAAAGTCGCAAAGGTTGTAAGACGAAAGTTTAGGATCTGTGATAAGGATTAGTGATATGAATTGGAGATAAGGCTAGACGCTTTGGCGGGAATGTTAAAAGTTTGAGTGTCTAGCAATGCGTCACAAACGTTGTAAATGGATAGGCTGGATACGATCTCCAGGATCACCTATATAGAGTATACCTGCACATAGAGTGGTATGTGCCGTAGCATGCCCGGTGCTTTATCTTATGTAAAAAGTGTAAAGTCGAAAACCGTGTTGGAGTTTCTAGCAAGTCAGTCATCTC